TCGCATTTTGTAACTTTTGCCCATTTAATGGATACATGTGATCTCAAAATCCGCCCACACCTGCTTCACCTTCCCTTTGATATAAAACCCAGCATAATAAAAAGCTCGAGTCCAGAACAGTCAAAGACTTAAAGTGAAAACATAACTTTTTGGAAGACTTGACAGATGATCAGAGTCACATTTATTATTTAGCCATTTAATAGTGAGCGTGTGCAGCACAAATTTAAATACTCCTAAGGTATAAGAAAGATGGACATATATACCTCATACCCATCATTAAATCATCAGCATGATAGCATGAAGGTGTATTAACAACCAAAAGACATCCAGCCCTGACATTACAAACATCATTGTGTCATTACAACTTTTGCACTGAGGTACAGTAGCTAGCAGCTAGCCTGAGCAGTTCAGAGTAATATCACCAGCCACAACCAATTTAAGTCAGTCAGTGCCCAGTAAGAAAGTCCCAGACTTACATACAGGTGTATAGTTAAAGTTAGAAACGTGATAGTGAAACATGGATGTGTTTTTTCTTCTTAGTTTAAGAAAATGCTTAAGTAGCCAAACAAGCAGCTTTAAAAATCACCAGAGTACACGGGTCTTCAAGCACCGCATGCTTGCAGTAGCACTCCTACTAGAGCCAAGGAAAGGCAAATCAAATCCTGTACTCGCCTAATTTTATGCATGTCTGCATCACTGGGTAGACATGAATACAGTTTTGATCCTCTGTGTTTAAGGTTATTGTAAATTACCTTCTTTTTTTTTAAAAGCACTTTGGAAAATAACAGTTGGCACTGTATTTATTTCAAGGTTTTACAGGTTGGTTTGCAATAAAAAACAAAAAAAAAACAAAAAAAACAAAACACCAACTTTATCAGTATTCGATGCTGATCTGTTAGCCTGTTTTCCAAAGGCACGCTGTTAATACCAGGTTAAATCTGCAAACCAGCTTCTCCAACAGATTGTTTATTGGCTTAACAAGATGTTTTCTTATTCAAGAGTATCCTAATTTGTAAGTGGGAAACGGACTCTCCAGGCAACAGAAACTAAAGGAGATGGGGGTAGTTTGTCAGAGAGAAACAAATTTAATTATTAAAAAAATTATATAAACATCCTCAGGACCAATTTAGCACCATGCAGTAGGGTAAAAAAAAAAAAAAAAAAGTCTCCAAAATCTGAAAAACAAAACAACTCAATCGAACTACTGGGGCTACTGTGGGGCTGGAAAGATCAAAATAGCCTTAAAGATTTAGCCCGTTACAGCTAAGCAGTGTCCAAACTGCCTATAGGTCACGTTCTCATGATTCTAAAGGAGGTGGTAAACAAATTACACTGTTATGTGCCGTCAATCGTGGTGCGTTTTAAGGCCGGAGAACCCAGTAGGACATCACACTATAATCACTAGACATTCAAAGCCTGTCAGTGGGAAAGTATCAGCTGTCAGAGTGAGTGCTTCCTTTAACCAGGCTGTGCACAACAAGCGCTCCTGTCCATTGATAGACAAACACGCAGCGATAGTAGATTAGCCGTGTTTCATGATTAACAGAAAAATACGTGATTAAAAAAAGAAAATTTATCCAGATGCAACTTGCCTCTCAACTGTCAATCCTGAAGAATTACATGAAAACCAAAAGAGGCATCCTGCACAATACAGATGCAAGGTTATTCAGATGTCAGTCAAATGCTGCGAGGAGGAAACCAGCCCACATTAAACATGGAAAAGCATAATAATGAGTACAGTTCCCCAAATTTTAATAATAAGTGTTATGTGATACTGGATGGAGAATTTATTTTAAAGCCATTATCAGATTTTGGCAGAATTTATTAACTAATCTGCAAGAGGAAAGTCTCAATTTGCAGTTTAATGTAAACTAGTCATAACCTGTGACAATATTTGCAATAAATTAGCCTTGATCTAATGTGAAAATGTTTAAATGAAAATCCATGTAAGAAACAAGCCTCATTTTCAATACATGAGATTATGATCAGTCTGCCTTTTGTGTTTTATTCGCAAGAAAGTTTGATATACACTAGATCGTTTGAATGCTAATTAACTGTCAAGCAAAAAGGGAGAAAATCTTTTACATCCCCGAGCTTTCATTCTGGTCCAATCCGCTTTGCTACAAGGTGTGAGGAGTTTGAGTCGAGCCCAAATCTCCATCATTCATGCTGGAGCAGACAAGGGGATTGATTGCACTATATTGCCCCTGCAATTTTCCTTCTTGGATGGGGTCACTCAGTCAAGAAAAGGAGCACAATCTTTGGCTTTAACCCTTGAAATGTGATTTAAACTCGAGTTCTTTCCCGGAGACACAGCATGAGCAACCCATCTGTAATTTTAGTTCTTCTACAAGGCTTGTCATCAAGTGCACAGTGTTGACTGGCAGAAGTAAAACCATTGACCAATTGTACAGGTAGTACAAATACAACTTGACCTCAGAAACCGATTGCTCAGTTGCAGTGGAGACTCTTACATCCAGTGGGGGCACAGGTTTATGCAAAGTAAAGAGACTGGGCCGAAAGTGAAAATGAGTCAAAAAGAGCCAAAAAGAGATGATAGGAAGACAAAATGACAGACTTTAAAGGAAGCAATAAAATGCATCAAGCTATTTTTGCTGTCTGCATTTCAAGTCTCAACCATCAGAGCTCATCTGCATTTTAAGTGGTAAAAAAACAAACTCTGATTTTACTTTAACATATGCAGGGATTTATTGAAAAATTTAAAATATTAGAATTTTGAAAATGAATAATAAATACACAAACAATGCAAGTCATCTTAAGAATTTGGTCACGAGACATTTAAAAGGCTTCAAAAACATTAAAATGTCTATTAAAACAAATGAAACTGCTAAGCACACTTCTTTGATCTTCAGTGCTAGACCTTCAAACTATTTTCTAAAGACATCAATGCAAGAATAAAGAAATTCAAGCGTTTTAAAGATAAAATCTTCCAAGTGCCAAAGTCACGCAACATTAATATCACAAAATTTAAAAAAGCAAACTTCAAACTTCACATTTTCATTATAATTTCATAGCGAAAAAAAATGATTCTTTGCACTGTCTGCTTGGGATGCACTTTTGCTCCCTGTGAGTGAGTTTTCAAGCTGGGCTGTTCATTACTAGCCGTTCAGTCCTTGATCAGACATTTGACAAGTGATTAATCAGGCGGGCGGCCTCAGCGGAGCAACTGAAAGTTAATTTCCACACTTCTGCATGCGGAGATGAATTTAAAGCACGTGCACTCGGGGTAGCTGCCTTAGTCACGCTTTCAGGGTGACCCCTGCCCTGTGCTTTTGCAAAGATTACATCCAGCCTGACAGGCCGGTTCTCGTTTTCGTCGTGCACCAGTATGCAGCGAACATCCGAGCACCACCGAAGAGTTAAGCCGTGGAAGTGGGGACGGCAGGGAGCTGTGGTGACAGAGTGTGAAAGTGAGTGACAGACAGCATCCTCTCGTACCAGACCGAGGTGTGTATCTGTAAGTAAAAACTGAGCCACGTGCTTACTGTGGGTACTAGGACTGATATGCACTGCTACACTTGTGTAAAGTTTCAGCTGCACCTCTCCCAGAGTGGTTTCGTGATTCATGTTACAATGAAGAAGGTATATCAGATCGGCAAGACTCTTCTGAAATTGACAGCAAACCCTTAAACCGGCATCCAGCAGCAGCTCAGGTACACTGACCCGCCAGCCTAAAGACATCTCTGCTAAGTTTCCATGCAGCAGTGGGTGCTGAGGTACCCCAGGGCAGATGATATTAAGTATGGCCCTACACAGCAACTGAGTATGCTTTTGACTGTAGGTATAGACAACAAGGACGCTTTCTTCTGTAGCACTTATCAAACGCAGACTTTGGCCTGCTAGGCCTATCTGAATGTCCTTCAACTGACACAAAGGGAGGTGATGGAACAAAACTAAGAGACCAGATTCAGAGGTTAGTGTGTAAAGCGCAGATTCCATCAGGATCAAGAGGGCAGACTGCGGCTCTGGTTGGTTGCATTTAGCTACGTTCAGCCAGTAGAGAGTAAGAATCTTCTCAGTTGGGAGGCCTGAAGTGGAGATGACAGACTGTAGATGGTCCATCATGCTTTGGGGTGGCAGATTTTGCAGGTTTGCAAGGGAATCAGGAAATTTTATCAACGTTTGAATGAAAATTTGAACTGTTTTTGAGTTTTTAAGTTCACAGGTAACCTCTTTCACACTGCTGTGCTTCAGTTGCAACCGCTTTGTAATAAGTTCATCTCCTTGTTTCACATTACCATCAACCATGTTTCGTGTTGACTCCATATCCCACATACTTTCATTCCTTTTCAAGATATCCCCTGAGACAAGCTGTACATCATTTGGCAATTCATCAGCCTTACTCAGGGTTTGTGTTGGTGTCGGGACAGGGAGTTTTGCGTTTTCAGGATTAATGCAGCCTTGAATCATCTGAGCAGCCTCCTCAGACTGAAGGAGTTGAATTATATCCATCTGGACCTGCTGTATGAGAGGCAGCTCTTTCACCAATGAAAAAATGTGACTGTCCTTTAATAGAGAGAAGATAAAGCTGCTTCTAAATGTGGAGAGGACACGGCTGTCCCTTAAAATAGATAGAACACTGCTTTCTCTTACCAGAGAGATAAAATTGTTTGACCAACGAGCCCCAACAGGTTGAAATCTGAATTCTGTGACTTGCTGCAATACAGTGGAAGAGCTCCAAAGCAGACGTCCTGCATCCTGGACAATCCAAGAAACTCTGCTGAACAAAGAGCTCAGCTTCAGATTCTGAACTGCAGCTGCTGCAGCCTTTGTCGCACACACTCCAGGGATCGTCTCTAAATTTTCAGATTCATCCATCTCTCCACAGCTACACTCCTTCGTGATGGTGGTTTCTTTGGGTGGACAAAAGCCTGTGTGACTGTCAAGAGGCTTTGTGTCAAGCTGAGAATGAGTGTTGCTCTGTGGGAGGATAGACATGGAGCTGGTTCCTCTGCTGCTCTGCAGGTGGGACATGCCACTTAATGAGCTCCCACCAGAGCGAGGTCTCCCCTTGTAGCAGTCAGTGCCATCATCTTGGATCTCATTAGCATTCCCCTCTGGCTTTGTGCCACATCCATCACCCAGGCCCAGGACACTTGTCTGCTGGAGGTTGGCATCCCCTGACCAGCCCTCTTCTCCCTTACAGCTTGCAACTTCAGTCCCACTTTGAGCTTTCCTCTCAGACCTGAGCCCAGGCCCTGATTTATGACACAAGTCCCGCTCCTGGCCATCCCTGGCGCTTACTCCATTCTGCAGGTTCTCTCCATCCGATTCAAAACTACCGTGTGAGATGAAACGTCTTCTAGGTAGCTCAGTGTCCTAGTTTACATTGAGTATGTGGAAAACAAAAGGACATTTTTAAAAATGACTTTCAATAAACTCTCCTTAAAACATGTGTATTCATTTATATCCGAATCGAGACATGCATAGGAAAACAAACTGAAAAACACCGCATTAAGAAGAAAATATAGAACAAGTGTACTCTCATTGCAAAATGCTTTCACGAAATGAGTGTCATTTTCTTTGAAACCTCTAAAGGAAAGTTTAATAGGCATTAAATATGTGCATAATAAAAAAGCAAGAGAAAGTATTTCATGGCTCATAAAAATCTATATTAAGCCTGGCTGGAGAGGGGGTGGATATTGACATTTGCTCTGACACTAAAAAGGGACTAGAACTTCAGTTGTACAGCGACGATATAGCACTGCATTAAACAAAAACTGCAAATCCAAGTCTCACTATTGGCACACTGTGTTTTAGCTTTAATACATTTCCTTAAACAAACAACAAAACAACTAAGTCATATCTAATTCCATGCAGAAATCAGCAGCGGCTTTATGACTAAATCCCTCCATTATCTTAAGTTTGATTTTCTTTTTGGCAACTGCACAAAAAAAATAAATAAATATAAAAATATGCATACATACTGTAGTCGCAAACGTTCTTGCTGGGGTAGGGGCAAGACAGACGCTTGAGGCTTTGGACATTACTTCTGCATTTTTAGCCGGATGGATGTGTTGGCTGAAGAGACAGCAAGCATAAACAATATTCAAAAACTGTGTCAATGGGAGGATGTGGGAGCACAATACAGCTGCAGTTATATGCTTATATGTGTTGCTAGGGTCTTTGTTTTCAAGAAGCAATTTAATTATTTGCTGTAGTGTCACACTGGAGACATCAGCTTGCATAGAAAAGACAAGGCTGCAATACCCTCCCGACCCTATCCTCACAAAACCCATCCATTAGATTTGAAAAGCAAACAGCCCAAATGGCTGGATGAGATTAGAGCCACTCGACTAGCTGTGAAATTAAATAGAATCTGTGCATGTTGATTTGAGGATTTACATACAATACTCAGCACTCCAGAGGGAGGAGCAGAAACCAAATATACAGCTGAGAAAGACTTCTGACAGTAAACACTGGCTTTGGCTGAGATTTGTATATAAGCAGCAGGTTGATGAAGGGTGCAAGCGGGAGCAGTAAAGCATTGACAGCATCAACAAGAGGGACACAGTGCAGGTCCTGCTGATGATTAAAGGATTTTTGCAGATCCTGAGGATCAGTAGAGAGGATGTCCTGTACTCTGCGATGTTTGCTCACCAAAGGAAAGAAAAAAAAGAGAACACAGGTACTGGGATTCCCAAGCTGACCACATTTTTGCAATCAGTGTTTCCTGCTGTTCACAAATTGTAGCTCACATGCAGAGGCTCAGAGTTCTGTGACATGGCTTCATAAAATCGGTACACAGAAACTGATTCATTAACACCACCACAAAGTACAGTTTGCCTCCCTGTTGTTTCCCTCTGTTCCTCCATGGCCTCCTAATCCTTGTGTTGATTGCGTTCCCCACTGTTTTCCTGGACCTGCTGCTATCCAACCCACAGGCTAAGCTCTGTTTCCACCCACGTAGTGATACAGACACCACCACAGATTTTATGAATTGTGATATACGAAGTCCTAGGTCAGTTGACGTGCACCCTGCATCAGATCTCATAGTATAATCTAGGTAAAAATACATTGTGCGGCCATTTTTAAAAGATGTTCATTGTTGACTTAATGACTTAAAGTGAACAGAAGAACAAAAAATAAAAAGACTGACATTCAGAGCTAGACAAGTGTTAAGTTACACAGGAGCTCCCAAAGTGAGGAACTTTAACCAGTGAAATTATACCATTTCAGGTGATGTAAGCTCGTAATAGCAGCTTGTCAGCGGTCAAAAATGGAAGAGAGAAAAACGCTGGCACTTGGCCTTCTGACCAGAGATGGAGGATACTGAGAGGGTTGTCAGATAAGGGACTTTCAGAGCATAGGGGGCCATTAAATGTTGTTTCGGGTCAAACACCAGTTGGCTGGTTCCATCGCTGGAAGCGCTCACAGTCCAGACTTTCTGGGTTTGAAATGGCTGCATTTCAACTTGGACTTCAAAATTGTGGCTCTGCTACACAGTCCATTTAATAAAGTATGAATCAAACACAGTGGGGTCCCTTTTACAAGGGAAGAAGTGAGTCTTATGGGCATAGATTTATACACAATATGAAAGCATATGACCTGGCCTCTACAGGCAACATGGCCCTTTTCCTGCCTCTCCTAGGAATATCCATCTTATGTCTACATACTGAAAGCTCAAGTCGTGACATTTACAGTGCATTTGGAAAGTTCTCAGACGCTTTGAATTTTTCTACATTTGGCCTCATCTTCAAATGGATACAGTCCATTTTTCTTCAATAATCCACACACAAAGCTTTGAGCGTTATGCATACTGACACACCTTTAGTTTGAAAGACTCGTTCTTCTCTCCCGAATCTTTCAAGTTCAGTGTGACTGGATGAGAATCACCAGTTCAGAAGCCTGTACTACAAAGGATTTGGGGTTTAGCAAGGGAGGGGGGAATAAAAAATAAATAAATAAAAAATAAATCACAACCACAGGTTTTCGGTACACTAAGTTACCATTGTGCTAACAGGGGTACAGCGGGGTAACTTATGCTGCAGGCCTTATCTGCTTCAGAACAAATTGCTTTTGAGAAGAGACAAACAAG